GGAGAATCCGCCTTTCGGCTGCTGCTCGCTCAGAAACACGCAGAGTAAAAACCACCCCCCGGCTTTGTAAATCCCCCCGCGCTCGGGGAGGAGCCGCCGCCGCCGCTGCTAATCCGGAGAAGCCATGTGAAAAAGTATTCCTCTGGGAAAAGGCCCGGTGCCCGGCAGCACCCCCCGTCCCCTCTACCCACGCACGAGCTTTTTCCGTATCCTGAGTAACTCGGGTTTGCAGCCGCCTGTCGGGAGCAGGATTTGACCCAGGCTGCGATATTTCATGGTCCCTTGCCTGGCCCGCTGCTGGGCGTTTCTCTGCTCCCCTTTCTGCTCGTCCTTTGGGAAATTAAGGTATTCGGTGGTATTCGCACATCGATCGTGCACCAGGTATTTGCACTTGAGGGCATTTAAAAAATAATCCAGCTGACCTGCTGGCATGTGGATGGGCTGCATTTTGCTGCTACCAGTGAGGTGGGAGGTCGTGACTGGGAAAAAGTGAGCTCAGCCTTCGTAGCACGGACTTTTCTTCTGTTGACTCAAGATAAGTAGTGAACGCCCCTCGCAGAGCTGGGTGTCTCCTCTCCGCCGGCCCTGCACAAGGTATAATTTCTGGCTGTTTACATTCCTGCCGCAGCGCTGAGCCAGAGCAGGGAGGTCCCGGGCGGGCGCTGGCAAGACCTCCCCGGAGCCGGCCGGCTCAAAGGCAATGCCATCCCAGCTGCCCGTCCCCTTCCCCGCGGCTCCGATGTCCCCAAGCAGCGTCCCGTCCCCACCGGCGATGCATCCCCAGCCGGGCTCTCGCCGCCCTGCACCGTCGCAGGGTTTGGTGTCTCAGCTTTGAAACGTTGCTCTTGTGCTGTCAGCGCTCCAGAAGCGAGGTGCAAACCTCACTCAACATCTCCCTCTTTCATCTGCAAAAAACCGGCAGCGTGCTGGCAGCTGCCCGCAATACTCTTTCCGGGCGAGCTGCTGCTTTTGCTCTGAGCTTGCTGGAGGTGGATCTTTAGCTCGAGTAGTTACTGCTCCTGCTAGCGAGGTTCGTCTTGAGCTAGAGCTGGCTCTCGCTGCGGCCAGGGCTCTTTGCTCAGCAAGTGCTTGGAGGAAACGGAGACGAGGAAGTGTCCCCAGGTCTGGTTTGGAGGGAAGAAGTTCGGTCTTTGCTCTGACGTTACCAACGCAGTGGGTTATTTGAGGGTTTTTTTTTCCCCCTTGGTTTCTCCTAGGTGCAACGAATGCAAAACCGTCTTCCACCGGGACTGCCAAGCCCGTGCCAAGTCGTGTCCCCGCTGTGAGCGCCGGCAGAGGTACCAGCGAAAGCTGGAGGCGGAGGCCAGCGTGGAGCCAAGCCTTTAGCATCCGGGGACCGACCTTGACCCTGCCCTCGGCTTCTCATCCAGCCGGACTAGCGCCGGGGGGAAGGAGCCGGTGGGAGGTGCAGAGAAGAGACCCCCTGCCCGGGAGCTGATCCTGCGCCCGGCCCTTCCCCGGGGACAGCGGTGCTGGGCGATGCCGTGTGGGTGCTCCTGCCCCACGGAGGGACCCTCTGCCCACCCAGGGCTGAGCGAGGGGGGACTGGAGAGGTGCGTCCCCCCCCTCACTAACCCGGTGCTGCTGGGGGATGCTCCCAGTCACCCTCCTGGTGCCAACCTGGTACATCCCCTCCCGGTGGAAACCCAGCGGTGTAAATCAGGATTTCCAATCAAGGGTGTGGATAACTGACATTGATTAAAGCTCTAGTTTTTTAGGATGTTCGATACTGAAAAAACAGTATTTTTTTACGTGGGGGTTTTGCACAAGCTGGCCTGCTCCGGGGAAGTGGCGGCAGCCGCGCGGGGAGGGGGCGAAGTGACACTTGTGCCTTTAGGGACCTTGCGTGCCCCGGGGGGACTGCGGGCGCTGGGGCCCCCCAAGCATCTCCTGCTCGGAGGGGGCCCACCCATCACCGTGGCCTCCAGGAAGAGAGGGGAGAGAAGAGCCGGGCTGCTCCTCCCCGCCTGCTGCTTTTAATCCTCGGAAGAAATTTTATTTTCCTTTCACCCTTCCCCATGCAAAAATAATTAAAGTTTATTTAACGACGAGTGAAGATGTCTTCAGGGTTTGCTTCTCCGCAGCGGGCGCCGAATCCCACGTCCAACCTGATGCTGCATCTCCATGGGAGGAGGGTTTGGGACGGGGATGCTGCCCGTCCTCCATCCTCCCTGCCCATCCTCCATCCTCCCGGGTTTTGGGGGGTGACTGGGGGACCCTTCCCCATTTTCCCTGCCCCATTTTCCTTCCCATCTGCTCCCCACCGCTGTCGGCATCTCCAGTTGTTCTTTTCCCCGCCACCCCACTCCTGAGACCAGGTGGGTTTGGGGTGCACCCACCAGC